GGGAAAATTGATTATGGAATGTTTTATTTTAACATGATGAATAAAATATTTTAGGACAAGGTGTTCAAATATTTTCCAAATCATTTCTAAAAAATATGTATGGTATCAGATTGATCTAATTTCTGTGCACTGAGGACAAGCAAGTCCTAGGTTACAAACTGAACTCTCCAATGCAAGAACAAGATGCATTTCTGCCTTTAGGAGGTGCTATTGTCACAAGAAAAGAAAAAGGTTTAAGTTTTGTTTTTGCATGTGGGTGGGTATTCTGTTTGTAATAATTGTTTGGCTACACTATATTTTTAATATGCTAGTTGTGATAATTTCATGCCAAGTAAAAATGTCCATAGTCATATTTTATGTTCCTAAAGTAACAGAATGACAACAGCTGGGAAGTCTGAAGGCCACTGGCTTAAATTAAATGCAAGCTATCCGTTACGTCTTCCGGTCTTCTTGGAAGGGAAACCCATTCTCTGGTACCTCAACAACTCTGCAGGAGGTTATTAGGTCAAGAGCTACCCCAAGTATGCACTGTCGAGTACGCATTTGGGCTTGGGACTCTGCCGTCCGCTTGCAATTAATCTGGCTGCAGCACCAGACTGGCTCTTGGCTGAGTCTCCGAATTTCAACCAACTGCCAAAATCCAAACTGGGTGCATGCCTGCACTCTTCAAGACCCGACGTGCAACTCAGCCGAGCAGCAAACAAGTGGCTCTAATATGCCAGTCTTCCTACCTTTGTCTTTCTCTGCATCGCCATAGAATTTGCCAGCAGAAAGCTTGAACTTCCCGTAGTCCGATTTGTGCTTTGACTCTATCCAGCGGCTCGTCCAGGCATCTGGGGGTGGAAGAAAAGATAAAAGATCAATTGAGTATGAAGGCCTAGAACAATCTGCTGACTAGTTACAGTTATACATGGACCTCCTGATGGCACATGGTGTTTTTGACCACTGTGTGACCCAGAGTGTTGGACTGGATGGGCCATTGGCCTGATCCAGCATTGGCTTCTCTTATGTTCTCTTATGTTACCAGACCCCGGTTGGGAAATTCCTGGATATTAATGGATGGTCCCTCAGGGGCTCTTAGCCACAAAGTATAGGTAGGAACTCTGTCTGGGGCAAGGGATGCTCTGTAGTCTTGGTGCTGGGGGGGACAACAGTGGGAGGGCTTCTAGTGTCCTGGCCCCACTGCTGGACCTCCTGATGGCACCTGGTATTTCTGGCCACTGTGTGATACAGAGTGTTGGACTAGATGGGCCACTGGCCTGATCCAACACTGGATTCTCTTATGTTCTTACAAGAAATAATTGGATCAACATATGGAGCAGAGGTCCATCGGCGGCTATTAGCCACAAGATATAGATAAGAACTCTCGGTCTGGGGCAAGTGATGCTCTGTATTCTTGGTGTTTGGGGGGAGGGCAACAGTGGGGGGGGGGGGCTTCTAGTGTCATGGCCCCACTGCTTGACATCTTGGTGGCACCTGGTATTTTTGGCCACTGTGTAACACCGAGTGTTGGACTGGATGGGCCACTGGCCTGATCCAACATTGGCTTTTCTTATGTTTTTATGTTAACCATGGCCTACCCACTGCTTTGCAAGAGTTCCCCCGGTGCAACGTATGATCTGGCCATCTTTGACCAACTCGAGCACATCTTGCAAGAAACACGCAAAGACCTTCTTTCTAATGTGCTTCTGCTTCGTACCAGTGTGCCTCTTTGAGAACGCAGAACCACAGAGAGAAAACCTCTCCTCCAAAGCATCAACCCGTTAAAAAATAAATGCTTCATTCTGATTGATTACTGGCAGTGTGCCATACTGGACAGTTTGTGATTTGACCTCAGACACATCTTGGGTTGGATCCAAGCTAAACTGCTCGTTCCACAGGCTTCTGCCGCCTCCTCATTCTCAGAACCTCTTCACTGCCACCCCCCCAGAGCGGCAATTGTGGCGACCCACGGGCCGCTGCACTGGGAGGAGAAAGGCGGGAAAGTTCTGCTCTCCTGTTGGGGCAGCTTAATGTGGCTGCAAACCCCTGCTCAGCCATCAAACTCAGCAGACGTCGGAGGACAATTCACACTGTTTCCGCCTAACCTGGGGGACATCATCCATACAACCACCAGGACAGCATGGAAGTCCAGCACCATCTCAAATGGAATACCAAACCGGTACCTGTAGATTGGTTCCATCTGGATGTTAGCACCTTT